TGGATTGATTTGCTTGCTGATCCATTTGTTTTCTTGGCTATCCATGGTATTCTCAGGAATATTCTCCAATGCCAAAATTCAAAAGCATCAATACTCTTCCTACCCTGCTTCTTCAAAGTCCAACTTTTGTTTCCATAGAGCGTTGCAGGGAATACCATGGCTTGCATGATTCTGATCTTTGTAGGTACAGTATAAACACATCACGGCATTTGAATACCTTTTCCAAGGCCCTCATGGCTGCTCTACCAAGTGGCGTATTTCTTGACTGCTTGTTCCTTTACTATTGATGGTTGATCCTAAAAGGCAGAAGCTGTCTACTACTTTGATATCTTCACTGGCAATTCTAAGGCTGATGGTTGTACCTGTTGACATTAGTTTGGTCTTCTCTACATTTAATTTAATCCCATTTTTTCACTGCGCTCCTTGACCTTTATTACTAGAGCTTGCAGATCCTTTGTACTTTCGGCTATCAGAATAATGTCATCAGCATAGCACAGGTTATTGATGTTTCTTCCTCCAATTTTAAAACCATGTTTATCTTCTTGAATCCAGTTTCCCTTAACATATATTCAGCATATAGGTTGACTCAATAAGGGGAGAATATACAACATTGTCACACTCTTTGCCATCCCGGAGCCAGTCTGTTTCACCATGTTCTGTCCATACTGTGGCTTCCTGACCTGTAAATAAGTTTCTCATGAGGAGAATGAGATGTTCTGGGATTCCCATTTTTCTAAGCACATTTCGCAGCTTGACGTGATTGACGCAAAGGCCTTTCTATAATCAGTGAAACACTGTGTTTTCTCTTTGGCTTTCTCAATTATCCAGCATGTATCAGCAATAATGTCTCATGTTCCTCAGCCTTTTCCAAAGCTAGCTTGAATGTCTGGCATCTCTTTTTCCATGTAGGGCTCTAAACTGGATGATCCTAAGCATGGGCCTAGTAAGACTCAAAGTCAGCTAAAATGCCACGGAACCAAGGCTGATATATTTCTTAATTGCTAGGGGAAAAAAACAGCCTTCTGAAAATTGTTCTAAATGTTTTATCCTATACTGTTATTACCAGCTTGAAAATTAAACTCAGAAACTGATACAGTATTTTTATCTTTAATAAAGTAGCACTAAGAATTTAGCGCTTTAGAAACTACTACTATGAATGCAATCCCTTCAGTACTTACAGAAATAGAGGGAGGGGGTGTTGAGTTAGGCTTCTCTGATTTTGTTATTAAATGAAAAAAGGTTCATAAGTTAGTACAGGGTCAAAATTAGATGACATTTGGTGGAATAGTTGATGCTTTCATGTAGATCAACCATGCCAGATGAATTAATTTCATTAATATTATAGTAGTCCAGGCATTTTACAGAATGCAAACCTAGCTTCAAAAACAGTATCTGTCCACTTGTACTTTGTCATAGTTCGTACCAGCCAGAATTCAAGAATATTTACTATTTTTATATATACTGCTTGTTAAACAATTTGGGTGGGAGGACTAGAATTTTTTTGTTTTTACCACCATGTATTAGAAATGTTCTCTTGGACAAAAATCCCTGCATATATTGGTTTACTCTTCTGCTTATTTAGCTTACTGATGTTCACAGAAAAGTCAATGTCTGCAAACATCATTTAACTCTATTGAAAAAAATTAGAAAATTACAGGCACTTCTACTTTTTACAAAGATCAGAGTTTGAGGCAGCCTAGTTCCAAAAATCCCGGTATTTATTTCTTTGCAATGTGGCAGATTAATTCCCTCTAAGTTTTCTCTGCCTGCAAATTGCATTCCATTTTACTGAAAATTTAAAATTACAATGATTTGTGGATTTTCCATGCCATTCAATAAGAGGCATAACCCTTCATTTTTTCTGAACCTAAGCTGTGTGTGTGTGTGTGTGTGTATGTGTGCATGTACATCTGTATGGTGAAGGTTTATGCCCACATATATGAATGAGGCATACAGAAAATCCAGTTTCTTTATGAGAAGCTAGACTTAAAGAAATGTAAACAGAGTCTGAAAGTTCTTCAATATTAATCAAATTTCCAGTATCTGAAAGATTTGATGCCAAAGCTGGAAATTTTTGTTAAGTACTGGCAGTCCTTAAGCTATTTGGACTGAATAAGACCATCTTAACTAAAGATTTACACATCTAAGAGTTTTATTTTGAAAGAGTTTTAATCTTCAGATTTAGATGAACTGTACCTTAGTGCTGAAGAAACTAGCTGATATCAATTTGATGAGGTCAAAACTTTATGTATTATTTCTGAGAAATAATGTTGAACAGGTAAAATGCCTGTTCGTTTTGAGAGCAGAGCAAACGTAGTCTCTAGCTTCAAAAAAGAATGATTGATTTAGGGAACTATTACACTACTTAATCTTAGGGAATATAGACAACTTAGTTGAACATTGATACTCTGGAGAATTTTAGAGGAGATCTTAAATAAATTGTTCTATAAGTATGTTGAACACCCAAAGGTTAGCATACATTTTTAAAGAGCAAGTCTTGCCAGAGTTTTATCTCACCTTTTGAGAATAAATTGTAGGCAAGCAATAGATATAATATTTTAACTGTATATTTTATACATACATACATACATGCATACATACATACAATATAGGGGTGGAGACAAGTTTAATAAATAAATAAATAAAATAAATATACTATTACATCTATTATTAGTAATATTAATATACTATTTCAGCAACATAATTGAAGAAAATACCCTATCAGAAGTCTGT